CGCCGCCACTGCATCCTCCCTCCTCAGACTGTGAAGACGTCCACGTTAAATCTTCAGAGGGTCGGCAACCCCTTCTCACTCCCAGCACCTTAATCCTCTTTTCCTGAACCAATAGAAATCAGTATTCCAGGATAGACAGCATTCTTCAATCTTCTTCAAGGTTGCGTTGTCTTCTTCGATATCCTCTGGATAAAGTATTCTTCAATGCTCCTTGCTCGTTTCTTTTCTGAATGAAATATTTAGAGATCGGTATTCCAAGACAACGAAAAGATTCTTCGATTTCTTTCAAGGTTATGCCCTGTTTCCCATTGATATCTCTTAGGCAAAATTCTTATTCTTGCTCCTGCTGGTATATAAAAAGTATATAAAAATCAGTATTCCAAGACGAGAGGACTCAATTTCTTCAAGACTGCGCCCTGTTTATTTCCGTCATCCCCGAAAGAAAGTATTCTCCTTTTCTCCTCCCTTCGTCGAACTACACGAAGATCAGTGTTCCAGGACAACGATAAGATTCACCGATCTCCTTCAAGGTTGCGTCCCGATTCTTTCGATGTCCCCCACATAAATCGTTCTTCCGGTCGTTTGATCGGTCGGATTCCTTCGTTCCTTGTTCCTCTTTTCCTCCGAGGGTAAACGCACTGCTCGGTCGATCAACGCGTGAGATCAAAAAAAGAAAAGAAAAGAAACGAAAAAAGGAGGATGATGCGTGTAGCCGACGGATTAATCTGGCGCACGCGATGCCTCAGGAACGACTGCTGCGGTTGACACTAGCCGCGCGTACGGGGGCGAGGGGGTTGGGGGAAAGGTGGACGGAGGTTCAAAGGAGAGAACCGTTCAGCGGCGGACGTAGCCCATTGGACATGGTCCGCGGGACTAGAATAGCATCGGTATTAGAATAGAAAACAGACGAGAGGACCAGCAGCGGAGAACACCGGCCCGCGCTCTGATAGAGTTGCGCGCGCGTGGCCTATGAAGATGGCCTCTGCTGGTTCATTGAATGGCCCTCTCGTCGAAGGGGGTCTGTTAACGCTGAAACTACTGAGTATTTAATACGGTTGGTATGTAATTGTTATAGAAATTGTAACATATTTTTTTGATAGATTTTTGTGCTGATACTTCAGCTGTAGCATGCAGATGATGCCATCGACATTTTAAATGATTTCGGATGAGTATTCGACACTTTTGTGGTATGAACAATTGCGAAATAAGAAAAGTGATACCAATCGTTTTGACTGATACAGTAGTTCTAGTGTTAAAGAGTTAAAATCTGACGTGATACATCTAGGGTTCCTGATATATATTAACCATTTGCACTCGAAAGGTGACTCTCAGTCACTACTTGATTTGATACGACAAATCTATGAAGTTGAACATTTAATATTTCAAATTAAACTTTGCATTGCTACGTGGAATATTTAAATAAAACATCACGAGTGTACTCGTCAAGCGCAGTTAACTGGTTTATGAATGGTTTCTGAGGCATGGGGGTAGGAAAGGAGACAGATCGTCGGAGTCATCGGGATTTTTATCAGAAACAATGTGGCGCCATGACCGACGATTTAGTTATCAGTGGTTGTTTGATGTTCAATGGAAATTTATTTGATTAAGTGATTGTTAAAGTAAATTTCTATGAAATTTAATCTTTATTAATTCCAATGGCATGATAATACGAAAATTGTTGGTACTAGAAATTCCATCAGGAATTTTCGATGCTTCATTAGTAACGAATATTTGATGAAATCATGCCTGAATAGTAATTAATCTAATAATAGATGAAAATAAATATTCTGAAACTATAAATAAAAATAAGGATTGCCATAAAACGTTGGATCTCTTAATGATAACGATTGATACAGTTATCTCTTAACTACTCTTGCGAAGGGAAGAAAAATGCTTTCGCCGGCAGGTAGCTTTTTGACTAGAGAGCACGCAAAGCACCAGCCGTTCTAGTTTTAATCAGATTTCAGGGTTCAACGTACCGGGGATCGTATTTTAAGTAACAAATAGAAAGCACTTTAAATACTTCGTCCAGTTGAACACATTGTGCTAAACGGTTCCTCGCGGCACTGACGGTGTTCGCTGCGTTCCGCGCGGAAAATAATACTCGTACAAAACATCGTAACGAAACACAACAATTTTGTTACCTATAAAATATAAAAAACTAAAATATAAAAACTAAATATAAAAGAAAATACAAAACATCGAAACGCTCGTATAACTTCCACAATTAAGCCAATAATAACTTAGAACATTGAAAATTTGGCGTTAAAAGCCGAAATCAGATTTCTCTGGAATCAAAAGCGGCAGGGGAAACTAATTTACAAAAACTCAAACTTTGATGTACAAAACTTCATCAAAATAAGAATCACGGAGCATCCGCCATTTTCGTCGGAAGGAAATCCATGAGGGCGCACCGCGCTTCAATCTCCCATTGTATCACGCCCGCTCTATTTTCCTCCAATTCATTTTGCTGCGGCAATAACCACTTTACAACGTCGTAACGTGTATTCCGTCTACGCGTACAAATGGGTTAAAACTCAGAGTACAAACGATCGTACACCTCGTTAATATATTTATCCGGTGTTTTCTTTGAAGACAAAAGCGACAATTAACCCTTTCAAAAAATAATAAGGCGATACATAGGCTTTGCGATCTTTGCGAGAAAGATCTTGATTCAATATGTCGTCTTCTTAATTTTCAGTACAATTACATAAGAAACTACATACTTTCTGCAATCAAGTAAAACAGAAGACCGTGAAGTTATCCTTATTTTTAACCCTTTGCGGACGGATGTCGGCATTTCGGTGAGATGAAATGCTCAGATTTGGAAAACTAAATCGTGGACAAATGATCTAATTAGTCGAACAGCCATAGATCAGCACGTAGTTTTCTATTTTTCTATTAATTAAGCAATTGATATATAATTTAGCTTCATATGCTGAAGGTTTTGTTTGAAGAATCTTCGTTCGCAAAGGGTTAAGAAACATGTTAATTTAAAAAAAATGTGTT